GTGTAATTTCATGGAATTGCATCAAATTCACTTTTGCCTAAAGTAACTAAGATTGGGAATTTTTGAAATTATATTTTGTTACTTTATAAATTCATTATACTTTTAATGAGGAAAGGTTTGCCCTATCATACCCATTCGGCTAACGACCCTCCACCAATCAAGGAAGCGGTGGGTGAGAGTGGACACCCATTAAACGGCCATTTTATAGGCCATAACCTTATACCCCCCTTATAGATCGGCTTCGTGAATGAGGCCTACTAACGGTAAGACTAGCATTTTAAGTTATACATATATAATAATTATTCTTATAATATTATAATAGTATAGGGTGAATTTTAAACTTGTAAAATTCTAGGGTTTGGAATTTAAATAATTCAAATTAAACTTTTAATTAAAATTTAAATTCCAAAACTTGAGGGCAAGTTTTGAACTTTTTCAAAACACATAGAGTCAAATAGCAAATAATTTAAATCAAACATTTAATTTAATGATTATCTAAATTTGACCTATTCCATATTATTCACAAGATAATTCATCAAATAATTTAAATAATCAAATATTATCATATAAGGAATTTATTATTCAAATAATTGGTGATTATCTTTTGTTTTGGTAAGGATAATCACATAATAATAATAAAATTCGGATTTTATTAGTCAAAAACAGTTTTGGTAATTATCCTTCAGCAAAACAGCATGAAATCTCGAGAATCCCTTTGTCTGACTCCCCGACTCGCCGAGTTGGGCCGACTCGCCGAGTTCAGCAAGTGACTCGCCGAGTCAGGTCAGGCAGAGGCAGAAAAAAACGATTTTCAGCAAGATGAACATACAAGGCATCAATACAATAGAAACCAATCATGGCTCTGATACGACTGATGAGTTTTATACAAAAGAACATCCTATGTGCTCATGCAAACCCTAAAGCTTGGATCTAGGTTTCTCTATTGTACATGCAATTCATCCAAGACTTATAAACCCTAGATCTAGATGATTACCTCTTCAACAATGGCTTGAATCTTCTTTTCTTGGAGCTTAGAGTCACAAATGTCACTCCTCTAATGGCTTACAAACACCACAAGCAAGAAGATGATATTGTAGAGAGGGGAGAGGCACACTTTCGGCTATGAACTCTTCTAGGGTTTTCAGTGGCCGAAAAATGATGCCCTAGAGGTCTATTTATACTTGTGCTGCTAGGGTTTTAGTCAAAACCCTAATGGACAACTTAGGCCTTAACCAGTCCAAGGAACCTTCTGGAATAGGGCCCTTATGGTCGAAATTAAGATGGACAATCCTTAATTTCGTCCATGCCTAGTCCATAAGGCTTCTCAGCCCAATATTCAACTATCACACAATTGACAGTTCTAGTCCCCTTTATTTAATTAATGTCTTTTAGCCACAGAATTAATCCTTAATTAATTCTTGTCTAATACTAATTAAACTATATGATTTCTCCTTTAATATATTATTCTCATAATATATTAATAAACCATAATAACTTCTCTCTTCATAAATCATCCTATCTAGTTGTTTTGGTGAAGGCAACCCAAAAGAACCATGCACAACCGGGTCAAGTACTTACCAAATATAGTTACGGGCTTAGACACTAATCCAACAGACCCTTCTTTGTTGGAAGCCCAGTCTGTGTATAGGGTCTAGGTTTGGCTGTCTTCTTCGTTCTGTACTTCCTTCTGGGCGCTCTCTTGGATTTGTCTTTGCAGTTCTCCTGGTATTTCCAACAAAAGTCTGCCAACGCCTATCCTCTGATGCTCGTTTGGGGGTGGTAGCTGATATTATGTTCCCCTAATTCGATGGCCCACTTTGCGAGGCGTCCTGACTTTTCTGGTTTCAGGAGTAGTTGTTTGATTGGGCACCTGGTTAATACCGCTATTTGGTGGGCTTGGAAGTATCATCGTAATTGTTGGCTTGCGTAGATCAGGGCTAGTACCAATTTCTATATGATGGGATAGTTTATCTCCGGCCCTTGCAAGGCTAGACTAACAAAATAGACTAGAAGTTGCTTTCCTTGCCGCTCCACTACCAAAATCGATGAGATGACTTCATTGGATGCGGATAAGTACATTTGGAGGATTTCTTCGGGGGTCGGCTGGCCAGTGTGGGTAGTGTGTGCAATGCCTCCTTTATCCAGTGTAGTGCATCTTCGGCTTCTGGCGTCAAGTAGAAGTTGCTTTTCTCGATGCATCCTTTGAGTGTGTTGAACAATGGTATGGCCTTCTCGGGCGACTTAGAGATGAAACGGCGTAGTGCTGTCAGCTTTCCATTCAGGCCATGGGCATCTCTTAGCATGTGTGATGATGGCACTTCCTTGAGCTCATCTATCTTGCTGGGGCTAGGTTGGATCCCCTCTTTTGTGTCGTAATGTCCCAGGAACTGTCCTTCTTCTACCCCAAAGGCACACTTGGCGGGGTTCAGTTTCATCTTGACTTTTTCTAAGCTTTTTAGCGTCTCTTCAACGTCGTCTAGCTGCCTCCGTTCATTTGGGCATTTTATGACCATGTCGTCTACGTAGACTTCGATGTTCCGGCCAATTTGGTTGGCGAACAAAGAGTTGACCAACCTATGGTAGGTTGACCCTGCATTTTTCAATCCAAATGGCATTTTTTGGTAACAAAAAGCACCATGGTCTGTGTAGAAAGCGGTCTTTTCCTCATCTTCCTTGCTCATGAGGATCTGGTGATAGCCTTTGTACACGTCTAGGAAACATTTCCACTAGAACCCGTGTAGAGACTTTACCTTCTTTTCAATCTCTGGGTGTGGATAGCAGTCCTTGGGGCATGCTTTGTTAAGGTCGAAATAATCGATACACATACGCCACATTCCGTCATGTTTTTAACCATGATCGGGTTGGCAATCCATGTTGGGAAAACTGCCTCCCAGAGAATTCCGGCCTTGGTCAGCTTGCCCACTTTTGCATTGATCGCCTTGTTCCAGTCTCCCCTAGACGCATTTCTTCTACTTTATCTCCTTGGTTCTAGGTCTGATCATCAGCTTATGTTCTATGACCATTCGAACGACCCCTACCATATATGTGGGGGTCCATGCAAATATGTGCTTGTACTTCTTTAGGAGTTCTATCAACGCCTACCTTGTTGTCTGAGGTAGAGCGGTCCCTACACTTATTGGTTGGTTTGGGTGCTCCTTGTTGATGATTTCCTTTCCTTCTGGTAATTCTGATCGGGGTCTCTTTGATTCCTCGAAAATTTACTTTGGCTACATGATCTCGTAGCGTTTTAGAGCTCGTGAGGGTGTGGCCAGGACCGTCCCTGGCCCCTGGCTTTTGCGTAATTTCACTATCATGTGGATTGTGGATGATATTGCTCCGAACTTGAGCAAGCCGGTTCGTCCCAATATTACATTGTGTTTGGATGGATATCGCACGACAACGAAGTCTATGACGGCCATCTTGCACTTAGTTTTTTCATGACTAGTGAGTGTAAATGGCAGATAAATCGTACATAGGCGCCACAGGTTGTGTCCCGTGAATCCTGTCAGTTGGCCTGTTGCCGGTTTTAGGCCTTCCTTCCATTTGTCTGGGAGCAATCGGAAGCAACGCTCATATATGATTTCTGCCGAGCTTCTCGTTTCAAAGTACACACGGTGAATGACGGTGTCTCATATGGATCCTTGGATTACTAGTGGATCGTCTCTTCTCCAACCGGATGGGCTTGGGTTGGATGTCGAGAAAGTCACACCCCACATTACCTCAGTAATACTACTTACATTGTCCGTGTGCTCCGTCCTTCCTCTTTTGTGGTGTATCATCAAAATCTCTTGGCGGTAATCTGCTCCACTTGTGTTGTCCTTAGGGTTTTCTGCATCGAACTTGGCTCGTAGGCTTCGGGCAATCTCTACTATATTTCCCTTTAACTGCTTTTCCTCCATCTCTCGCTTCAGGACTGTACAGTTGATTATGTCATGTGTTCTGCTTTTGTGGTATTCTCAGTAGCGTGTCGTTGTTCCTTTGGCCGCTGGTTTATCGGTGACGGTGTATACTTCTGCCCACCGCCCCCATCTGTCATCTATTGTGAAGGGTTTGAAATGTCTGTCTCGCCCGTGGTATCTATTTCCTCCTTGATTGTCATGATGGGGATTTAGGTGGTGGTGCTTCACGGCTGGGGCCTTCATGGCGTTAAGGTATGCTTGTTTCGAGGCTTCTCCTTCTTCTTTTCGTAGGTATCGTTCCACATTCTCTTTTAATTCTGCTTGCGTCTGAGGCTTCTTTCCCATGAGTTTCTGGGAAAGTGGGTCGGGAAGGAGGCCCCGTGTGAAAACTCCTGCTATCAGTCCTTCATCGTGTCATGGGACGTCTAGAGTTGCATTAGTGAATCGAGCAAAGTAGTCATTTACTGTTTCTCCTTCTCTTTGTTTGCATCCGATGATGGAGTGGGAGTCCCCTTTGTAGTTGCACAACTACATGAAGTTGGTCAAGAAAAGGTACTTTAGCTGGCCAAAGTTTTAAATACTCCCTGGCCGGAGTGTTTTGAACCACGTCCATGCGTTTCCATCGAGGGTTGTGGGGAAATACGTGTACCAGAAGCGTTCATCAAGTTTTAGGGATGTCATGGTCCACTCATATGTGTCGATGTGGCTGTCCGGGTCTATGGTACCGTTGTAGGTTTTGAGGTGAGGCAGTTTTGCGGTGTTGGGGATCTCGTACTCTAGGAGTTCATTCACGAATGGAGATGTGACGCTTTGTGAGAGGCAGTCTTGGTTTGGGATTTGCTGGATATAGTGGTAGTTGGGTTGCTGCATTGTCAAGTATGGTTGCACCAGCATGTTGTTGTACGCCGCCAAATTTAGTGGTGTTGGGCCATAGAAGTTTTGTGGTTGGAATGGAGCGGTGAATGACTGAGTTATGGAGGGTTGTCGGTATTATGGTAATGGTGATGGCAACATAGTTCCCGGTGTGAACGTCGGGTAGGCTGACATCTGGGACCTGGTACTTGGGTCGTTGGTACCGTTGTTCATCGGTGGTGCCGGTGTTTACAAAGGGGGTGGTAGTCCATTAACGGTTTGCGGTGTTAGTAGCGGTGTTGCTTGTGTAATCTGTTGTGGGACGCTTGTTGTTTGGAAAATCGGTGGTAACGGGATTTGGGTAAAACCATTTGGTCCACCGAAGGTGTGGAGGAACGATGGTGTCATACTACTGAGGGTGGGTGTTAGATGTTGGTTGTGGAGTGTGTTTTGGGATGGTACCATTGTGAACGAGGGTGTTGGACCACCGGATGACGGTGTGTCACTGATGGTTGTGACCGCTTGCTTTGATGGCATCACAGGAGTGATAACCGACTCCAGTGATATCATCGGTCGTACCGGGTTTCTTGGTGGTTCTAAGGGTTCACCGACGGTTTCGTTCGTCATTCTGAAGGTGAGATGGAATGTGGTTCTGTGTATCGTTTGTCAAACAAATGGATGGTGCCAAATGATGTGACCTTGGCTCCAACAACCTGCTCTAAGGATGTGCTCCTACGTCGGAGGGAATCTGCGAGGTGACAACAGATAAGGCCGTCAGCCGTTCTCCGGGAGGAGGTCCCGAGAAAATGCACTGACGGTCAAGTTAGAGGGAATATCTGATAGTGGGTAGTGAGAGTCGGGAGAGATAACTTACCTCTCAAAGCAAGATAGATGTCCTTTTATACCGAGGACCCTCGCTGGTCCGTACGAGGAACAGGGACTGCAACTCCGACAGGATCCACCGTCCTTATTGGTTAGTCGTGTTCCTCATTGTGTTGGGGCCAATGATTGGTTCAGGTTTTTGTAACATCCCAAATTTCGAGTCCAAAAATTTCATTTTAATTAACTGATTATAAAAGCATTCATAAGAAAACCAAATAAATATATCATGTCTGAAAACCCAAGTCCTAAGATAGCATCATGTCAGAGTACAATCCCAGAATATCTTAAGTGCGGAAAATCAATGCGAATGTGTATGATGTGCCGTTACCGCGCCAGCTCCTTCCCCTTCGCTGAAGAGGTACCTGAAATCAAAACTGTAAACTGTAAGCACGAAGCTTAGTGAGTTCCCCCATCGTACCACACACCATACAATCACATAGCATACATACTGCCGGGCAATTCTGGGGTACCCGACCTACCCGATACGGCCATTCTGGGGTGCCGACCTACCCGGTACGGCCATTCTGGGGTGCCGACCTACCCATGTCAAGCCATTTTGGGGTGCTGACCTACCCGTGTCGAGCCATTCTGGGGTGCTGACCTACCCGTGTCGAGCCATTCTGGGGTGCTGACCTACCCATCGGTCCTAACAACCGACCCTCGGGGACTATTCCACCCCCTACTGCTACTATCACATATATCATAACATAAACATACTATCAGACATATCTGGGGTGTCCGAACTACCCTTCGGTCCTAACAACCGAACTTGGGGACTATTCCCCTCCTACTACCACTATCACATATAACATATCATGCCAGTATATAAACATATCATCACATACTGTCAGACATATTTGGGGTGTCTGACCTATCCTTCGGTCCTAACAACCAAACTCTACTACTATCACATATAACATATCATGCCAGCATATAACACATCAGGTAGTAGCAAAACTAGATGATATCACAAAGACAATCATCTAACATACAACTCCTACTGGTGGGCCGACATTGTGGCCGTAGACCCACCGCTACTGGAAGGTAACTCACCTCGTACGAGTAGCTGATGATAATCTGTGCGGGAAACCTCCGTCCGCTGCTGCTCCGGAAATCCTCCGGCTACAATCCCCACAAACACACAGTTAGAACTGATATCTACTCTTAGGGTAAAATGACCATTTTACCCCCAACCAAGTCCAAGTCAAAAGTCAACTTCTAGTTGACCGGACTCGCCGAGTTGGGCCGTCAACTCATCGAGTCCCTTCCCTTTACTCGTCCTTATCCACGACTCTACTCGTCGAGTTTAGCGACGACTCGACGAGTTCCTCTCCGATATGAACATCGATTGATCCTTCATCCGACTCGCCGAGTCTGATGAACACTCGTCGAGTTCATCTTCAACAGATGAAAAAAGTCCTGACTTCGACTCGCCGAGTTGTATGAACAACTCGTCGAGTTCATCTTCATCCATAAGAAGATTGTCTTGGACTCGTCGAGTCCCAAGAACGGACTCGCCGAGTTGGTCAAGTCCACACTCTAAATCCTCGATTTCTGATGTACAACTCTTGACCAAAAGATAGATATAGGCTCCTACAATCGTCCTAACACGTAAAGTTACAAACTTTACGTGCATGCATGGGACTTTGAGTCCAAAAGGTCCTAAAACAAGCTCTTGGGTTGCATGGAGTCTTTCTTAGGTGTAAAAGCACCCACTTTCTGCCTTGTGACCCCTCAAAGGACCTAGATCCGAAGCCTTGTCCCCAACCATGCTTGCATTCATGGTTGGCTACCTAAAATGGCTTATAAAAGCCCTAAATCTCCACAAAATGGGATCTAGAAAATGAACAAGCAAGTTAGCAACTTTATAGCTTCTAAGGACTGAAGATGAAGCACAAACTCGAACCCTTCTGGTCTCCTCTTGTTTCCTCAAGCCTTTCTCCTTCCTTCTTAAAACTATCAACACCAAAATCCACCAAAATGGCTTAGATTACTTCAACAACGGTTAGGGTTTTCTATAGAGGGTGTTTGGGAGCATAAAGGGGCGATGGAGGCTGTATAAGGTTGTTTAAATAGGGTGCAAACCCTCAGATTAGGGTTTAGTCCATACAGAGCCTACTCGTCGAGTCCGGGACCCGACTCGACGAGTCCATCACTTAAGTCCCGCGTCTCATCCCGCTTCTACTCGGCGAGTTGGTCCTTCAACTCGCCGAGTCCAAGGCCAAAAATGCAAAATACTTAAATAAAAATACGTACCAAGAACCAGGTGCTACAAATCTCCCCCACTTATTTTAGACTTCGTCCTCGAAGTCTGCTGATCGGTCCTGGAACAGCTCTGGGTAATGCTCCATCATCTCATCCACCGGCTCCCAAGTCCATTCCGAGCCCTTCTGGTGCTGCCACTGCACCTTCACGAGCTCCACCCTCTTGTTCCTCAGATCCTTCGACTTCCGGTCGAGGATCGCTACAAGGCGCTCAATATAATTCAGGTTGTCATCGACCTGAATGTCCTCTAAGGGTACCACTACTGAGTCGTCCACCAGGCACTTCCGCAGCTGAGAGACGTGGAAAGTGTTGTGGATCTGACTGAGTCCGGCTGGCAGATCCAACCTATAAGCCACCTTGCCCACCCCGACTATAACCCGGAAGGGTCCAATATACCTGGGACCCAACTTGCCCCGTTTCCTGAATCGGATGACGCCCTTCCATGGCGACACCTTCAGGAGAACCATATCCCCGACCTGAAACTCCAGGTCCGATCGGCGCTTGTCAGCATAGCTTTTCTGTCGGCTCTACGCAGTCTGAAGTCTGCTCCTGACCTGCTGAATCCGTTCGGTCGTCTTGAGCACTACATCGGTGCTCCCCATAACCCTCTGGCCAACCTCGCCCCAGCATATCGGGGTCCTGTACTTCCTCCCGTACAACATCTCGAAGGGAGGTCGATCGATACTCGCATGATAGCTATTATTATACGAGAACTCCGCCAACGAAAGGTAGGTATCCCAGCTACCTCCGAAGTCTAAAACACATGCCCGCAGCATATCCTCTAGCGTCTGGATGGTCCGCTCGCTCTGACCATCCGTCTGCGGGTGAAAGGCGGTGCTAAAATGCAGACGAGTACCCAGCTCGTCATGAAACTTCTTCCAAAACCTGGAAGTAAACCGAACATCTCTGTCTGAAATCACCGATACTGGCACCCCGTGCCGTGCCACCACCTCTCTGATATAAATGTCGGCCAGCTTCTCGGCCGAGATGCTCTCCTGAATCGGAATAAAATGAGCGATCTTGGTCAATCAATCGACGATGACCCAAATCGAATCCACCCCTCGCGCGGTCCTGGGAAGCTTTGTGATAAAATCCATCGTAATATCCTCCCATTTCCACAGCGGGATATCCAACGGCTGCATCTTGCTGTGTGGCCTCTGGTGCTCGGCCTTGACCTTCCTGCAGGTCAAGCACCGCTCCACGTACCATGCTACGTCCCGCTTCATGCAGGGCCACCAATAATAAGGACGAAGGTCTCTATACATCTTCGTCGCTCCGGGATGGATAGAAAATCTGGATTTGTGTGCCTCCTCCATCAGGATCTGGCGCACGCCTCCATGATAAGGGACCCACACCCTATGGTGAAGAGTCAATAACCCTCGGCTATCATAATCGAAGGAGGAAACCTGCCCCACAATCCGCTCGCTCTTCCTATGTTCTTCTTTTCACGGCCTCCTGTTGGGCCTCCCGCATCTGCTCCAACAGCGGAGTCACCACTGTCATCCTCAGACAGATATCCCTGATCGGCGCCGCCTTGCGGCTAAGCGCGTCGGCCACCACATTGGCCTTCCCCGGGTGGTAAAGGATCTCGCAATCGTAATCCTTCACCACGTCCAACCACCGACGCTGCCTCATGTTTAGATTCGGCTGATCCATGAGGTACCTCAAGCTCTTGTGGTTCGTGTAAATCGTACAACGAACCCCATAGAGGTAATGACGCCAAATCTTGAGGGCGAATACAGCAGCCCCCAGCTCCAAATCATGCGTCGGGTAGTTCGCCTCATGAGGCTTCAGCTGCCTCGAGGCGTAAGCAATAACATGCCCTCTCTGCATCGATACTGCGCCCAAGCCCGAGATGGACGCATCACAGTACACGACGAGATCCTCCATGCCCTCTGGCAGGGCTAAGATAGGCGCCTCGCACAATCTCTGTCTCAGTGTCTCGAATGCAGCCTGCTGCTCAGGCCCCCAACGAAAGACCACGGCCTTTCTCGTTAGCCTGGTCAAGGGTAAGGCTGTCTTGGAGAAATCCTGGATGAATCTCCGATAGTAGCCGGCTAATCCCAGGAAACTCCGAATCTCAGATGGAGACCTCGGAACCTCCCATCTCATCACGGCCTCCACTTTGGCCGGATCTACCGAAATCCCGTTCTGGTTGACAAGGTGCCCAAGAAACTGCACCTCGCGCAACCAGAACTCGCACTTGGAGAACTTAGCATACAAGCTCTCCCTCCTCAAAGTCTCCAGAACCTCTCGCAGATGCTCCTCATGCTGCTCTCGCGTCTTGGAGTAAACCAAGATATCATCGATAAACACTATCACAGACCGGTCTAACATCGGTCTACACACGCGGTTCATGAGGTCCATGAACGCGGCAGGAGCGTTGGTGATCCCGAAAGGCATCAGCACGAACTCATAGTGGCCATAACGCGTCCGAAACGCCGTCTTCTGTACATCCTCCTCTCTGACCCTCATCTGAT